GGCCCCTTCTTCGGGACACAGAAGCGATCTGGCGACAGGTAAGTCGCCAGGATCGCTTCTGTTGTAAAGCCGACAGTCGGCTCTACAAGTTTAAACAGAGTCCCGGCGGCAAAAGTCGCCGGGAGTCTGTTTAAACAGCCCCGATGCTGGCGACGTACACTGTACGTCGTCAGTCACAAAGGGGTTAAAACAAGGTTGTACAAATCCCAGGAGCTCCGTATGCGCCCTAAAAATGACAGCTGCCTCCTAACTTTTGAGTTTTTCTCTAGTCTAGTTTTGGAGCTGCAAAAGTATCTGTACATGTACTTGTACTGAGTACGGTACTTGGTATCTGAACATCCCTAGGCTGGTGCTATTTAAATCGAATTGAAGCTTGTTCAATGCATTTCAATGGAGCTGTTCTCATCTCAATGTCTCCGGTAGCTTGTCGCTCAAGCTTGTCGCTCGAACATTACCTATTTTTCGGCGGATTTCGTGCGATTTGGCCCAATAGATTTTAATGATGTAGCTCAATGTCGCGCTACAGAAGTCTCACTTTAGCACAGAAACAAAAAGGAAGGAATGATGTCACATCAAGACCGCTTTTGATTGGTTACAGCCAAATGTAGCAGCTACGAAGTCTCTGTGAAAAGTCGCGCTATGACAAAATGTGCACTGTATCTCAATCTAGCTCAATGTCACTCAGCTCAAAATTGCGCTGAATTGGATGTAGCTCAGTGTGAATGGGGTCTCACCCCACAGGTACATACTGTATCGTAAAGGGAAGGGAATGCCTCTGCCACAAGTCTGGCAACGTATTGGGCTAGGGAAGGAGGGGGAGTCGGTCATAATTTAGAGCAGGCTTGGGCAAACTCAGGTGAACTGGTTTGCACCAAGGCCCAGCTCATCACTGGTGGGCAGAACCTGGGCAAGGACATCAGACACCCAGTCCACAGGGTAGTTCGCAACATCTTGACCAAGGCAGGAAACCAATCAATGGCAGCAGCTGTTCAGAGCAATGATGGATGACATCATCAAGAGCTGTGAGGCATGCCACATTACCAGTTACATAGCACATGTGGCTGGTGAAGAGGGACAGACACACCATGCTACAGATGCACACTATCAGACCTCCACACCTGGCTACTGAAAGGAACAGACAATTATCAGAGTCGCACATAGCTGCTATAGAGCAGGACAATGACACAGTCACATATGGCTCCTTGATAGCACACCACACAGACATTTCTCCACTTATGGCTCTGGGAATTGCTCAATATGAGCTACCTTCAAAAAAACATCAAATCGCTTTTAGTTCAGGGGTGAGAGGCAATTAAATCAAGTTCATTATGGACTGCTCAGAGAAAACCTATAAACTTTTATAAATGACTAATGGAAAGCCATAAAATTGTTATCCATTTGGCAGCAAAACAGAGAGTGACAGCATTAGCTGAAAAAAGGCCGGGTAACAGCTGCCTGGCATTAAGAGGGATCGTAACACATTTCACTGTACAGTTACATTCCACCAGCGCCATATAATGGTCACTGTCATGCCAAGTCTGCTTTTCTTTTTTGGACACTTACAAAACACAAGACCACTTGTACTCAAAGAGGAAGAGTTAGTCTCTAAACAATGTCATTGCCGCTTTCTGTTTAAAAATGTGGAAACCACAAGTTCCCAGATCCCTAATCTAATTTTATGCTGATGTCCTGAAATCAGCAACATTCAGCTTCACCCACTAAACTTGTGTTTAGAAATTCTAGGTAATGGAATGGGAGCATATTATATATGGACACATTTAATTATCGGTTTTGAATAATCTAGTTACCGTATATACTCGAGTATAAGCCGTCCCGACTATAAGCCGAGGTACCTAATTTTAGCAAAAAAAACTGGGAAAAAGTATTGACCCGAATATAAGCCGAGGGTGGGAAATGAGGCAGCTACTGGTAGATACCAATAAAATTACATTAATATTTATTTAAAAGAAAAATAACCTAGCTCTGTAAGTGGAAAAGGGGGTACAGCTTTAATAAAGTAGACCCCAAAACCCTTTCCTTTGTTCATAAGTAGATTGCAATACAAATCCTATCCCAGCAATTTTTTTGTGTTTAAAGCAGCAGTTGCTAAAAAAAAAAATCCAAACTATTTTCTGTAAAGACAATTCTTCCTTTCGCTGCTGCATGCTCCACCAATCTCTGCATTAGTGGCGCGAAACCACTGGCTGAAGATAATGCAGAATAAGACAAATCCAAGATGGTTGGATTCCTGGACTCCCACTACACTCAGTGGTTGGATCCTATGGCCCAAAATATTACTACTGAGTCCTGAGGACCACAGCATGGGATCAGGAATCTAACACTGGACAGTGGGTGTTTTTTTTCATAACTACAGTGGAGATTGATGTTGCTGGAAGCAGGAGATGTAAGTATCCCTGGTTTTCTATGCAGGGAACAGTTTGAAGCATTTATTCTAGTGTCACAAAAGTTACCTTAAAAAAGAGACCCACCATAAAATTCATATTTCAGGTAATCAACAGGGCGCATGTCAATAATTCACTTTTTTAGAGGATAGTTTTGTGCCATGCACAAAAGAGAAATGCTACCAACCAAGCTCCCTGCCTAGGCTACCTTCATCACATGCTACTAGGCAACAGGTGCATTGCTACTAGGCAACAGGTGCATTGCACCTAACCCTAACCCTTCCCATCCAGGCCATTTTTCAGTATTCAGCGCTGCAGTACTTTGACTGACATTTATTCCGTCATGCAGCGCTGTACTGAAATGACTTTTATACCCTTTTTTGGGGACAGATAGAGCTTTCTTTTGGTGGTATTTATTCACCACTGGGGGTTTTTATTTTTTTACTATATTAAGGAAAAATCACCGAAATTAAAAAAAAAACAGTTTCCCCTATATTAAATGATAAAACATTTATTATTACCCAATTTTTTGGTAAAATATAAAAGACGGGGTCACGTCGGGTAAAAAGACACCAAACATGTCAAGCCTTAAAATTGCGTGCGCAAAACCTCAAAAAACGATAATACCCAAAATTGGCCATAGGCGAAGCTTTAAAAGCTGTTACCGCTCATCAGTTTAGTGTTGGTTGGTGGGCTATACGCAAACGAGCACATATAGGCGATCGGCGGGCTATGGACCCGCTGATCGCCTATATGTGAAACACCCGGTACCGGGTGTTGGCATTGGACGGGTCTTATCTGCCCGTGCGTGCCCGCTAGGGGACGCGCGCGAGCAGAAAAAAAATGCCGTCTGGCATCTCGCCAAAGCAGCAGTGCCGTCCGTCCGTTTTTCTACTACGGGCGGACGGCAAGAGGTTAAAGACCACACAACAGACACACATGAGCACCATCCACTATCAGTATTGTAAAGCCACAACAAAATAATGTTGCACCAAATTTCAAAATGTTTCTTTTTCAAACAATGAATACAAGGCCAGTCCACCAAACATCATATTTAGTTATAGGTGGAGCCTGGTGGATTGAGTCAACATCTGAACTCTTTGTCTTAGATACTCCAGTAGTAAGATCTCTTTGCCATAATTCCCAACTATGTTCCTGTCCACCTTGCTCTTTTCCAGTTCAGTTCATAACATATAATAGAGCACAAAATAAAATCCAACAAGGAAACTGGGGCTCCCTCATAATGGTCACACCAGCTGTACAGACCCAGGAAGTTTGTACTTCCTTAAAAGACATAAAACTAAGTTGGTTTTGCTCCCCAGCACCTGCCAAAAAAAATGTAAATATCAGTTTTGAGTGGACTGATCCTGTGAAAGGCCTACACAGAATTAAAAGGTGTACAAATCAAATACAAGTCTTAAAATGATTCTACAGACTGCTTTGTAATACAAGATAATTATAATAGTGGACACAGAACGACCAGCACAATTCCGGTTCTAACCCCTCTACCAGATGACATAGGGACTATTCATTGCACACAGCCTTACCTTAACCAGTCTGCCTGGCTGCAGAAAAGGCAGGCAGTACTTGGGTTTGTGAATGTATTCTTCAATTTCTTTGCCAAGCTTGGCGAGCTGCTGACGAATTTTGTAATACGTCACAACACTCTCTTCATTGGGGATCTGTATACCGTTATACTGCTCCTCTAACCTCTTCACCTCTGTAAATTAAAAAGAATGAAGGCATATTAGTATGCTTCACAAAGCATGCATAGCAATTGCTTCCATAACGACCATTGTTCATTATATACAGAGATCATGTTTTATGAGGAGAAAGGAAACAAGGCATATCATGTGGCATGGAGGTGCTCGGTGTAAGTATTAGTCATTCTGATGATTATTAAAAGGTATTAGAATAGCTGGGTGTACTTCTGAACTATTTTTAAAACATCTAAAATGTAAAACTGTAGACTCTCTTATATTCCCAGCTAGCTATGCCATAGTTTTATTATAGTATTTTATATACAGAATATAGACTTTTCCTCTTGAGGCCACCTATACATCAGGAGGAGGAATCAAAGTTCTGGCTGATCTGCTGCATTAAAAAGTAATTTCATATTTTTCATCAAGCACAAAGGAAACAGACGATGCTGTGCTATAAGCTTTACTCAAAGCAAACAGGGCACAAAGGAAAATTAGAAAAGACCTCCTCTTCAAAAATGTAACAGTCTGCCCCTATATTCAGTTGTCACTCACACAAGAGGAGAAAAGGAAGGAGGCCAAAAATCCAGAAGAAGCATGTGGAAAGGGAGTTCTACATTCTTGATGAAAAGGATTTTACCGTTCGTACAAATAAAGGGTTTAGTTCTTACTGTAAAATTTTATTGGGAATCCATTGAGGGACACATCTCTGAAGAATCTGATACATTGGGTTATGCCACTGCCTCTAGGAGTAATGGACTCTATGCAACAAAAAATAAAAAACCTGCCACTTTAAAGGACATAAGAGACCGAAGCGCCACAACCTAGTGCAATCACTTAGGTGTGATTGGACAATAAGGACTAAAACTGCCCCCCACATCTGACAACCGTAGCAAGCAGTATACAAGGAAATGAGGAGAGGGAGCTGTCTCCCTCAATGGACTTCGAGAAAAGGAGTTTATGGCAAGAGCAAATCCTATTTTCTCTATCGTCCATTGAGAGACAAAGCTCTGAAGTATTTGGAGACGCACGGACGTTCAGAAGCAGTGTCAAAGTACACTTCAACAGCTGCGTGAAGAACTTTTCTGCCAAAACTAGCATCAGAAGAGGCAGAAACATCAACTTTAGAAAACTGTGCAAAAGTGTGAACAGAAGACCATGTTGCAGCCTTCAAATATTGAGTAACAGAAGCTTGATTTTGAAATGACCAAGAAGTACTAACTGCCCTCTTAGAATGAGCAGAAACAGGTGGTACCCTGTCCTGTAACTCATAAGCTTGAAAGACAAGCTGACAAATCTACATAGCAATAGTGGATCTAGAAGCTGAATAACCATTGCTAGGACTTTCTGGGAAAACAAATAAAAACCGAATATCGAAAGGGAGAGATGAAAGTTAATAACCCGCACAACATCCAAAATGATGGAGAAATGCCCTTAGGATGAACAGCAGCTGCACAAAGTGAATGTAAAACAATGTTTTCATTTGCATGAAAAGCTGAGACTACCTTGGGTAAAAAGGAAACCTGCGGTATCAAAACAACCTTACCCCTATGAGCCAAATAGGGTTTCCTACAAGACAAAGCTGACAACTAGGAAACCCTTCTAGCTGAGGTAATGGCCACAAGAAAAGCAACCTTTTTGGATAACAAAATAAATGTCTCAGATTCAAAAGGAGGTTGTGCAAAACAGATAAAACTAAGTACAAGGCCCACGGAGGAAAAAACCACCGAGCAGGAAGAGCAACTCCCTAAATAAAAGTAAGAATGAAGGAATTAGAAGGGGATGTTAAAAAAAGGCCGACAAGGCAGATGTCTGACCCTTTATGGTACTTCGAGCTAAACCCCCAAGAAAAGACAACATTTGCAATCTAGAAGAACACGTGTGGGAAAACCCCAAGAACTCACACCAGTGAAAATAAACCTACGTACGTTAAAAAAAATAATCTAACAAGTGGAAGATCTACGCCCCTTAAGCGTAATCGGAAAAACAGAATCTGACATTCCTTTGTCTTTCAACATTTGGGCTTCAACAAGCCAGGCCTTTAAAGCCAATGACCGAAAAGCAGGGTGGAAGACTGAGCCCTGAGACATCAGATCTGGCCAACTTTAAAGATGACAGGAATTGTCTGCTAACAGATGAACCAAATTGGCATACCACACACCATGCGAGGCCAATCTACAGCAACGAGAATGACTGGAATTCCTTTGTGTGAAAACCTGCAAAGCAGTCGTGGTAACAGTGTTAGTGGAGGAAAAGCAAACATAAGTGTGTACTGATCCTATGGTGCTACTAAGGCATCCACAGCATTTCTCGCTGTTGTGATGAGAAGCCAAAAGATCCACATCCAGCATTCCCAAGCGGTGAAAAAGTTGTTGAAACACCTCTAGGTAAGGAAGCGTTAACCCACACTGGCAATCAACAGGGACTGGGATGCTCTATTTTACCAAACTCCCAAGTATCACCGATCAAACAAGATCTTGATATATCAATCAGGTGGGACTCAGTCTAGATACCAAGACCATCATTATACAGATGCTGAAATGGATTAAACCTGATCTTCTAGCAGAGCACTAAAAATAATTAAAGTGGTAGTTGGTGGTTTCTGAAGGAGGAAGTACTTTGTGTCTTGCCTCCTACAAAAAGTGATACGGGCATTTTAGTGACCAACTGAATGGCAAGCACATTGCAGACTGTTGTGGGTTAGACTGGAGGTCCAATTTAAAGCAAAGCTGGGTTTTGCAAGCTAAATTTCCACGACTGAACTTCCTTATGTTGAGTTCTATGAAACAATTATATGAGTAATTGCTGTAGTGACAAGTTCTGCCTTACTCCACCTTATTGACAATTGAGATACAGTAAGGGTGGTCAGTCATCGGGCGTGATTGCTAACCCCCAATGGAATGTTTTACCCTTGAAAGAGGGTGGCCAGCTGGCTTTGATATCTCCCACAAGCACGAGACTGGAAATGGCCAGATCAGGTGCATATAGGCAGGAAAGCAATCATCTTTTATTTTAATTAATATTCATTTTTTGTCTTGCTTTGTTACTGTTCTAGTTGCAGTACCTAAAATGTAAGCACACATGGAAAGGTTGTATGGTTACCATTATTTTATTATAGTGGAACTCCAGGCAGTAATTAAAAATAATTGATATACTACTCCTTTAGTCTAGGGAGCCTTTAATAGAATGCATTTACCCCACACAGGATGACCTGTACCCCAAAGCTGTGACTCTTCCTTGGTTGTGCAGCTGCCCCTCGCCACAATCATCACATTCTAGGTATTCCCCTTTAAGAGTATTACAAGCAATTTTTGGTTCTCACTGATAAATGCTATAAGACAGCTCAGGCTGAAGGCCACTTACTCTCAGCTACTCCTGGAATAGCCCGGTAATGCTGAAACTGGTAAAAGGATTTCTCCAACATGTACTCAGGGTTAATTTCTTCCACTCGCAGGAGGTTCAGCACCATGTTGTAGGTAAGATGGAAAGCACTGTTTAGAGGATCAGCTGTGCCCTGGGGAGACAAGAAGACAGATGATTAGTTTCCAGGAAGACATACGGAGAACATATTTACTTCATGAAATAGCTAGACCCATTTGAAATCAATCTGTAACCAGGTCATTAAACTAAGGCACTGTCCACAATTTCCAATACTAAGGAGGGCCATAGATACAGTGATGATGCAACCCGATCCAGACTGTCTTCAGTGGCCTGATCTTTAACCCCTTATGCCCCTGGGATATCATTGTTAAAGTAGAACTCCAGACAAACCTAGGTAGATGGCTAAAAAACAACACATTAACTGTTTAAAATGTCAAAAGGAATTGTGGTTTTGGCAAATCAAGCAAAACAAATGGTAAACAGTAATAGCAAACAGTTTCCCAGCACACTCACCAGCCAGCATGCTATTACTGTTTCAAGCCCTTCCATGTGCACCTTGCTGTAAAGCTGGTGACGAATTGTTGAGTGCGTTTTCCATTTGTTTTGCTTGACTGATTTGGTGCAGTGACGCATGGGTGGGGTCTCAGCTGCCGTTGTGATGTGCGGGGTCCCTAGTGCGTACCTGTGACTAAGGGAGGTTGGGCTTCCTCCTGACAAACCTGCACCCAAATTAATCTTTTGCCACATGTGCTCCAAGGTGGAGACTCTCAGTGTAGAGTTAGGACCGCACAATATAGAGGTGCCTTGACGCGGCTGTGCGACTTTCACATTTTCGGCGGAAGACGTGCATCTAAACCTCTGTTTTTAACGTTTGCATGCTGGCGAGTGTGCTGGGAAACCGTTTGCTATTACTGTTTTGGGAACTCATTCTTGTTAATCACACAGTTCTGCTAATCAAGATCACCGCTTCTTCCTGGTTTAGCAATACTGATTTTTATCATCAGTATTTATTAGTACGGATTTATTATCAGACAGAAGTGATGATGCTGATGCGTTGTCCAATAAAAAGACCTGGAACAAGAATGACAGATTCAGGAGATACGAGTCAGCTCTCATATGCAAAATGTGTGTAAAATCACAACACTGGCTGTACAAGTTAAAAGTCTTCTGACAGGTAAAACAAATGTATTTCAATTGTGGAAGAAGAAGCCATTTGCTTGGAGTCATGCTTAAATGTGGAGCACTTTTGAAAGAATTTTGGCATACGTTTTCATACAGATAGAGCATACACTTTGCGTCATCTAAAATGTGATAAACCCATAAATTGAACTCACATAGAACAGGGGTGTGGAAACTTGTAAAAAAAAAAACCAAAAATTCAGAGTTAGGACTTACCGGTAACTCTATTTCCATTAGTCTTCCAGGACAGCATCACGAGATGGAATCTCCTCCCCCACACACAGGAAACACGTCACTTAATCTGTTTAAAAGACCTCCTCTCCTCCACTCCCTCAGTCATCACGAGAACCGAAGGCAAGCTGGAAAAAGACAAGGCACATACAGGCAATACCACCACATCACATTAATACTACAAGCATCAATGGGCGGGCAGTTGCTGTCCTGGAAGACTAATGGAAATAGAGTTACCGGTAAGTCCTAACTCTGAATTTCCCATAACGTCTTCCAGGACAGCATCACGAGAGGATAACCAAGAACTTACCAATTAGGGCGGGACCACAGCTTAGGTGCTATACATTGCAGTCAGTAATTCATCCACATCCTCCAAGGATAATTTATACCTGGAAGAGCTAGGTACATCGTCTTTGACACTCCCTTCCTCGGATGATGAACCACCCTGAGAAGGACCGGGCTCGCTAAGATCCTCCCGCTCAGATAGCCGTAAGGATCCCGTCGGCCCCCCCTGAGCAGCCAGGACAGAGGCAGAAAAAGGCACAGGGGTAGAAGCAACTGTGGGAATTGGAGCCCGGAACCCCTCTAAAACAGACCTAAAGGAATTAAACGTAGCCGATAACTCCTCCTTAACAGAAACCAACAGGTTGCTACTGGCTGCAGCAGACTCTTCCCTAAGAAGATCTCCAATGCATTTCTGACATAGGGTTTTAATATAACCGGAGCTCAATTTCACCGCACAAATTGCACATTTTTTCTTTGGGGCCACCTTCGTCTTTTCTTTAACCTGAAAGACACCAAGGAGCCCTGTTACCCACTGTCCTTTACTCAAAAATGGGGTTAGAGTGTCCCTCAACACCAAAGCATCCAACACCAAGGGACCCCAGGTGGAGGAAAAGAAATATCAGAGGTAACAGGGAGGTAAGATAATACACATCTTCCATACCTGAGCCGTGCTGGTGCTTTGAAGACCGGTATCCGCAGTCACTGCAAGCTGCAGAGGTAACCCAGGATCCATGTCTGCAGAGCCTGTTGAAGAGAAGCCTGCCAGCGTTTCCTCTCAGTCACTACTGAGATCCACGCTGTATTAAGCACCAGCCGAGCCCTCCCCTTCCTCCTGCGCCGAAAACGAGGCTTGGAACGCACAAGCCCGGCGCCCGGAAATGACGTCACCCACGCCGGAAGTGACGTACGCGGCCACCCGGCCTGGCCGTGGAACACGTCCCGAGGCCCTGAGAACCGGACAGACCCCTCTGAACGGCGGTCCACCGCTTCCCCTGACCAGCCAAGGGGGTTTCGCCCTCCCGGTACCGGCCCGCACTGGGCACTGAAGGGGGAAAGGAAGCCAGCCTCATCTCCTGCAGCGCTAGGAGAATCCCTGGGGCTCACACAAGGTAGGCAAACCTACCCCTCTGCCTTACACAGGCAGGCCATACATAGAAGGAAGACTTCCCGGGCAGCATCACCACATGGAAGCCCCTCTCAGCGTTCTGTGACGCGCTCCCCAGCTTGACTGAGGAAACACAAAAGACTGAGGGAGTGGAGGAGAGGAGGTCTTTTAAACAGATTAAGTGATGTGTTTCCTGTGTGTGGGGGAGGAGATTCCATCTCGTGATGCTGTCCTGGAAGACGTTATGGGAAAACTGCTTGTCCAAGGACTAAAAACAGGGACCCAATCTACTTGTCATGATACAAAAAATCATTTTAACCAAAACTGTACTTAACTGTGCTAAGAAGCACTTCTCATTGGTCAGCATGGTCACATTACCAATGCGTGTCTGCGAAATTCAAAATCCATAGCGCAGGGCTGTGCTGGATGGCAGTATGGGATACAGATAATACACCCGTATCGGCAGAGGGGAAGGACTGTTCGCTGAAACATAAGTATAGCGGAGAGGAGGCCAGATTTAAGCTGGTAACTGCATTTTCCCAAATTAAAATAAAATAAGTGTGTCAGAGAGCGCTGCTCCGCTACCACAATACAAGTGGAATGGAGGAAGCACACACGCACACAGCCTTACGCATGTGTTTATTCACATACATATGGCGGGGCTGGTTTAAATTTTATTTTTTTTCACCTAACTTTATTGCCATCACACAGGGGCTACCAAGCCCCGGTATGAACGCAAAGGACTGTGCTTTAGCATCCACCTGAACTCACTGCACTGATCAGCTTTTGTTTTCAAACATTTTTCTGGCATTAAAGTAGCTCTAAATTGATTAAAATATTATATGTGCTGTAACAATGTAATATTAAGTACATGTAGACAAGAAGTGTGTAAAAGGCTGAAGAATCTAAGAAGCACAGATATGCAAAAAGGATGTTGAAGGTGAAAATATTCATGAAAAAAAACATGACAACTCTCTTTGACACAACGCTATAGAAAAGTAAATGTTAACCGTTTAGGCTTTACAACTACTTTAACCCCTACAGAACTGCAGACGTACATTGTACAACTCCATCATGAAGTGCCTAAATGACTGGTCACGTACACTGTATGTGAGCAGCTATTCAAGGTTTTGAAATACCGGTAACCGCTGAGAATCAGCAGTTACTGTTCATTAATGGATGCCTCACTATTAACTGCTTGATATAATAGACAAAAAAAATGAAAATTGTAAAGTGTAAAAAAAATTTAATTAAAATCTATGAATATATTTTTATCCTATATTATAAAAAGTTAACCCCTTACAATGAAAATCTGCAGCTGAGCTGCAGATTTGTTTTTCACCATAAAGGGTTAATTTTTATTTTAATTAAACCCCCTCATGACAGCGTTGTTCAAAGAATGTCGCTGTCCCTAAGACCCCGTTCACATGTAGCGACATACCTTTGCAGCGGCCGGGATAGCGCGACTTTCGGGGCGACGTTCCAGCGACGGTAGCGTGACCTTCTCAGTCGGGCTCCATAGAAAAAAAGCAAAATCGCGCAAAATCCGCCGAAAAAAGGGTCCGGTAGAAGCGACTTGCGACCGCGACGCGGAGTTAAGACCGCTCCATTGAATAGCATTGGCCGGCGACTTCTCGTGATATCGCGTGGCAAAAATGCGCGAAATCGCTACATGTGAACGGGGCCTAAGTGTGACAGTTACAGTTACAGGGACGTTGTAGGCCACCTAACCAAACCATTATTAGTTTTTAGAGAAAAAAAATAAAATGTTAGCTTTTAGTTTTAGGCTGAAAAGTACAGAAACATTTCTGAAATCCTAGGGATATGAGGGGTTTCCAAATAAAGGACAAATAAATGAAATTTTAATGCATTTTTTTTTTTTTGCTGTGCCATTTAAAAAATAATAAATCAAAGCTGGGGAAAAAATGTTTTCTTTACGTTTATTCCTCTTTTTTTTATATGTTATTCATACTAAGTGAGGCGTTAGGCACACATACGCAATATATAAACATAGCCCCTATGTGTGGGTGCACTTCGTAAGAAAGTATATTACTGGCGTAGAAGAATCACAGCAAAAATGTAAAAAGTGCTTCAGTCATTTGACAGAAACAGGAAAAAAAAGCTCCGTCATAAAGGGGTTAAATTAGTGACACAGGAACCGACAGGTCATGTCATGCCAATGACCCTATAAAGCAACATGTCTCCCAAAGAACAAGAAATCCCACTATTGTTCTTTTAGCAAAAAGGATCTTAAAGACTAAATCTGGGCAGCTCTGAACACTAAAAGGTTTCACCGGAATATGGAGTGCATCTGAGGGCCAGATGCTGCCACT